GGGGAGGCGATGCAAGTACGGAAAATATTCATGCCCGTGTAGAATGGGGTCAGTGCGTTGTAATCCAAGCTCTTTAGACGCTGGGCCGGGGGCGGCCCGGCGGCCCCTTCCTGACGTGCCGTGCTCTGCCGTGTCGTGATGACCCGTGACGCGTGGGTCACGCATGGCGCGGGTGCCGACAACTCATCCCGTGAGTGCCAGTGCCACCCCCCACCCCTCTCCATATCCCCCAAACACCGCGAGTACTCTCCCGCCCCCACAAACACGCGCGGACGTGGCGAGACGGGGCGCGTCACGACGGTCTTACAGCGCACGACTCTCTTTAGGAAGAAATGAAAGTGGTTTGCCTAATAAGTACACGAGATATGTTGAAGTAATAGTACAGGAAATCATTTTGAGCTGAATTCACTTAAAAATTTTAAAATGCCTCCTTTTTTTCACTTAAGACACAAATATGGGTCTATTGACCCGTTCGTGCAGGCTCTACCCCTACGCCGGCGTGCACGGGCGTGCCGGGCGGGCACCCTGGAGGATATGAACCTATAGCAGGGTGGGGCGCGGCGGGGTGCGGCGGGGCGCAGGGAGCTGTGTGCGGGAAGCTGTCGCTGTCTGGCCGATACGCGCGCGCCGATCCTTTCCGCGAAAGTGGCAAAGGACTTCCCCGAACTCCATCGTAAAAGTGGAGTACCGCAGTACGACGAACGCGGCGGGAACACCTGCACCACGACGTCGTGTATGAAATAGTGACTGCGGGTGCTGGTCACATCCTTAGGGGGTAGCTTAAATCCACTGCACTGCTGAAAGTAGAATAATAGTCGACTAACCCTGACTAAGAGGGCACTTAAAACTTCCGTTCTGTTGAAATGCCGAATAATTAACGACGTCTTGTTTCTTGTTTTATGTTTGCAGCTTCCCAGTTCAGTGGTTCGTCGAGGAGATCCAGAGCAACCCGGAGCTAGCCAGGAGTGTCGTTCGGAAATTCATTGACGAAAATCAGGATGGCGAGCTCTCAGCGGAGGAACTTCTTCGGCCGGTCTACTAGTTGCGTCCACCCCAACTTTTCGTTTCGTTGCATACCCCCGTTCTGTTGACCATCAGTTTTCTTATATCATGGTTTCTCCGTCAAATGCCAGCAGGCCTACCATTTGCATAAGAGGGTGCTTCCCCACCAGTTGCCATGTTGAAGTAGACTGAGCTCTGTATGTGGCATGAGTCATATTGGACTTTTCTTTAAACGTAGAAGTAGGGCAGCGTGTACTAATTTCCATTCCATACACGCAGTCGACGTCCTTTTAATGTAATTAATTGTGAATTGAAAGCAATATATTTACCTACGTTTTGAAAAGGCTCAAATTGTAGGGTACTTAGTTAAAGGCGCTTGTTAGTTGGGTATTTTCTCTATAATTTATCAGTTTATGTTTTCATTCAAGTGGCTGGATGAACATTTTTTTTATTTATTTTCAGGAAGCGTTTCTTTAGACTGAATAGGTTTGTCATGCAAATTAACTGTATTCGCTATCATACAAATTTATTTCCCCCCTCTACTTATAACAACCTGCTTGTAGATCATATTTTAAATTAGTTGTCTTCACTTAACTGTAACTTTTCACGCATAGTCGTTTTGCCACCGAAAGTTTATTTCTCGAAGCAATATTAAACCATAGCACCTCCCTATGCAAGATGTGATGATAATTGCACCTTTGTTATAGAACTTAAACGTCAATTGTGATCAGTGATTTGTTTGCGTCAATCACAAACAAAATTTAAACTGGAAACAGTTTAAAGCTTTTTTAAAATTTCTGCTTGCGAATGACAGGAAACAGTTCCTCTCAAGACTGTTCATGTTTTGGCTACAATTTTACTACAATTTCTACTTGCTGTTCACATCCTTGCCCAGCCCACTCCACCTCAACATGACGGCAAGCGGAGTATAAATTTCCATACTAGTTCTACATCAGTTCAGAACGATTAAACCCAGAGCAGGTAGCACATCAACCTCAGTTCCAGTAAGTGCTGTATTTTTGCTGGAATAGCAAAAGGTAGGATCACCTCTGTACAAAGTCACTAAAAATAAAGCAGTTCGAAAAGTCTCTTCTAACATTTGTTTTTCAACGCTAAAAAAACCCTCTGTGCCCTTTGCCTTGTAAAAGTAGGGTCCGTCCGGGATTTGAACCCGGGACCTCTCGCACCCTAAGCGAGAATCATACCCCTAGACCAACGGACCACATACATACTCGATCAGTTTGGGAACTGCCTTTTAACACACTGGGGAAATGAGAAGAGCACGCAAGGCCTCGTCGCTTTGAAGAGAGAGAGAGAGAGGAAAAAAAAACAGGTCCCACCGAGATTTGAACTCGGATCGCAGGATTCAGAGTCCTGAGTGCTAACCATTACACCATGGGGCCGCTCTGATCACAGGAGACGGCGCTCCCGGTCCACATGACACCACAGCGGAGCAGGCCGTTTGATGTGTGAGGCGCCTGGCGAAAACATAATAAAGGACGACGAGGATGAGATTCGAACTCACGCGGGCAGAGCCCATTGGATTAGCAGTCCAACGCCTTAACCACTCGGCCACCTCGTCCCACACTCTCGCATTATAGAGATAGCTG